ATCAGCCCTGCTCCTTCCTTACTCACCACCCCAAGTAAAGAGAGAGAGAACAAGCTTTGCAAGGGAAAGACTCCAAACACTTGGGGAGTGACTGTTCACTCATCATCTGCTCCAGCAAGAGCCCCCAGGCCCTGACTGACACGGGAGCCCCCACAGGTTTCAGTGGGCAGCCCTGCTGGTGCTCAGAGCGACTCCAGCCACCCTTCCACACACAAGCTGTTACCTATTGCCATGAAGATTTCATTCACATTCATCGCTGTCTTTGCTGACGTCTCCATGAACAGCAAGCTGTTGTCATCTGCGTATGTTTGTGCATCCTACAAACAATCACATCAGAGTGGTCAAGCCATCCTGCCAACAGGAGGCCCAAGCAGGCTTCACACACTTCACCTGTTGGCAAACTAAACACTGAATAAATGCTCTGTCCCACCCCAGGCCAGACATTCCCAGTGCCCGGCCAGGAAAGCTGGGAGATGTGCGCCCCTGACAGCACTGCATGGCTGGCGCCCCCACACCCGGGCTGTTTGCCAGTCAAACGCAGCCACAGCACGTCCTGAGCAGCACAACACCTTGTGCTTTGGGTAGCTGGGAGAGTAACACACACCGTAAACGCACTACAAGCAGCCCTGGGCAGAGGCCTGAGATAAGAGCTTCTCCTTGAAAGTCTGCCTTAGCGTACAAGGCAACAGCCGTGAAGAGCAGAGAGCAAGCTGAGAGTGATTCTTCACGCGTCTTGTCTCTAAAAGGTGCCGTTTCACACACTGCTGAAGCAGCTCCAGGCGAGCAAGGCACCAGAAGAGGTGCTCTGCTGGTCTCATTCTCCACATCTGCCGTGGCTGTTCCCAGCAGGAGCTGCACGGGACAGGCAGGCTACGCTCGCTTTAAGCAGCGTCCTGAGGTCCTCAGCGGCATGAACCTTGACTTCCACTTTCCCTCAAAGTATTCTGCACAGAGCCACCATCTCCCCCACTGAAGCAAAAAGATGCTTTCTCGACTTGCTCAGGTAACAACTGATCTGGATTCCCACTCACCTGGAAGTCCACAGCTCTCTTGGTAGCAAGGTCTGCCTTGTTTCCTGCTAGTGCAATTACGATATTGGGGCTAGCCTGCCTCTGCAACTCTTTCACCCAGTTCTTGGCTCGTACAAAAGTGTCCTGGAAGCAAACAGGAGGCAGCAGTCAGGAAGGGCAGCCTCCTACTAATCCACAGTGAAGATATGATTAGAACAAGTCTTTCCTGGAAGAAGCGTTCTGCCTCTGCAGCACTTTCTGCCTCTGCAGCACTTTGTGGCAGGATCCGTTATCAGCTCAGACAGCCTCGGTCAGAACCGAGGCAGAGGCCGCGGGCAGTTTAAGAACCTCATTCCCTGCAGGGACTGAGGCCCCAGGTGCTCTCCCAGGGAATCGAGACCCGTCGGCTCGAGCGCAGGCGACTCCTCCCCAGTGTGGGCTCCCAACCCTGCCTCGTACTCACTGTGTTAGTGATGTCGTAGACGACGATGGCTGCCTGGGCACCTCGGTAGTACATGGGCGCCAGGCTGTGATACCGCTCCTGCCCTGCCGTGTCCCAGATTTCAAACTTCACCGTTGTGTCATCCAGACAGACCGTCTGCGTGAGGAAGGCAGCTGGAAGAGAAGGTGCGTGTTTGCCCCCGGCCGGAGAGCCCCCGCAGCAGGAGCCAGAAGCTCGGCGCAGCTCTGCGGTGCTGGGATCAGCTCTGGAGAGCACCACAGCACCAACAGAGTCCAGTTACACCACACTCCCCATGTAGTAGCTGGTTATTTTCTCAACCCAGCGAGCACAATACCATGCGTTACAACCAGGATAACGGCAACCGGCCTTGGATACAGACTGAGGCAGAACAGCAGAGTGCCCACAGGGCCCTCTGCAGCGAAGCATTAAGGCCTGTTTGCCCATCAGCTACCCTCACAGCTCTGCCTACCCCAGCATGGGTTACTGCAGGGACAAACCAAGCCTCTTCTCAGGACAGACCACCCAACGCTACCGCCCAGAGACCCGGTCCTGACCGACCTTTGGTTGGTGACACTGTGCTAGAGATTTCAAGGTAAAGAACCACTAGACCCGAAAGAGCTGTCAGCAGTACTGCCAGCAGTATCAGGCTAGAAACAACCCCAAAATCCCAGGTCATGGTCTGGAAAGATAATTAAGGGCTATAAACCAAGCTGAAGGCCTCAGTTCTAATTAGGAACAGGAATTCAAGGACTGGAAGTGAAGACGACTTAGAGGCAGAGCACACGGTTGCCATAGCACTATTCTCTGCTGCGCTGATCTTCACACTGACAAACAAATTGTAAACCAAGAGTCAGGTATTAGCTGCTGGACTATTTATAACAGAAACCCCAGACCAGACTGAAATTACCATTACGACTCCCGATACCCCGGGACCGCTTTAGTGAGGCCGGCATCTTCCAGCCACAGGCACGGGGAGCTGGCACTCACCTCCAATCGTGCTCTCCTGGTACTCGTGGAACTGCCCCTTCACGAAGCGCAGAACCAGGCTGGACTTCCCCACCGCCGACTCTCCCAAGAGAACGAGTTTAAACTGGCAGATTTTGTTTCCAGCAGCTGG